TGCAACCCAAAAGAATCCCTTTTCCCCTAGTTGAACAAAAAATATGATAGGAGATTGAATCACAATAATATGGACACACACTGCCAATTTCAAGCCACTAAAATGGCCCTATTGACTGCCAACTAGAACTATCCCATTGACACTTACTTGTTGCTTCATCCTGACAAAAAATTAATCTAAAGTATGTACTGAATTTGAACAAGTATTCATAAACAGGTATAGCCTTTTGGACAATAATCAATCACAATCAATTTCTGAAGAAAAAAAGCAAAATATATTAATAACAAAGTAACACTATACATAAACAAAGATCAAAAGTATGGCGAAACGTACATCCCTTTGACTGTTAGAAACTTTATTACATTCGGGAGCTACCCTATCCGAACCCACCTGGTTCGGCTCCCAAACAAGGACCCCCCCCGTGCAACTTGTTATACCAAATAAACACTGGCCACATCCTGGCGTGTTAACCACAAAGGAACTAATTAATTAGTGCTTTCCCTGGGTGGCCGCCATTTTGCATAACTGAACACATGTGGTCGAAGGGAAGTTGGCCATTTTGTCTTCAGAACACAGGTAGCGGGACATGGTCGTCGAGCGTTTAGAACCCTCGTCGGATATAAGACCTCGCGAATATCTAAGAAACTCTACTGCTACCGGCTCCGATTCCAGATCAGCTAGGTGAGCACTCTTCAGGAGAAAAACAACATCAACCAGAGGGAGCATTCACTCCCTAAAAGCCAGGGGGAGCCTTCACCAGTGTTCGTACAGGAACTCCGGTACATCGACCAGCCATTGCTCCATTTTCTATGGAATTGTTTTGGGCTGAATAAACTAGATGACTCCCAGAACTATGTCTCGTCTAGTTACTGGGGGGAAATATGAGTTATAATCACACAAGGTTCCAGTCTGACTGAGAGGGAAAATAGCGGAGGTAACTAGCCGTGTTACCCGGAGTCAGCTACCGAAAGATCAAACAATCAATCTCTAAACATGAAAATAAATTAAAGAGATAAGACATTGTCATCTTTAGAAAATCAATTCACCATTTAGATTTAAATACATCTGTTGTACCAATTATTATACAATCTAGACCGTTAATAAGTATGCAGGCTAGAACAGCTAAGGCGAATAAACAAACATAATAATAATGATTAGTTGTGAGTTATGCAAGTTCTGCTAAGACTCAATTAAATAAATAGTGTTCATCAGGGATCTAAAATTACAAGTATACAGGTATTGTTCTGCTTCAGCTTTTAAATAAAAGAAAATATATCTACTTTATTAAGAATTGGTTATCTGAAAGAGGTGGACTGTTACATTATTTTTAGATGATAATGTTATATCTTTTCTTGTTAAATTACATTTTATCTAGTATACTGCAACCACAAGACAACCTGTCAGAATCCCAGAACCAAGAGAATATTGCTGTAAGACTTCAGTCTCCTATAATAAATATGTTTCTGATCTCCAAGGCTAGGTTCTGGAGACAAGATTATGGGATCAATGATCTACCAGGCAATACCTTGCTTTAATTGCAATACCAGCCTGATCAGCCTAGATCACACCAAAGTAGAATCAGGAGTAATAAATGGCACATTATGTCAATCCCCTAGCAACTGCAACCCCCTTTTTCGTTAGGACGCTGTTTGGAAGGTCTTGGAACAAAAACAAGAACATAGAACATAAAACAATGAAATTGTAGAATTGCCTTACTGAAAGTACACATGTAATAATTTATGAGAGGTTAATATATTTATATTAAAATAGTATTAGAGATTTAAGTATAGATAGTAATTATTTTTAGTGCTTATTAGTTATGTGTTTTTCTACTTAAAGGATCTGATAATTCAGGTAAATACTGTATCAGTGAATAAAGCAGCAGAGGCAAGTACAAACACTCACTTATCTCACCTGCACTTTTGTGTTCTGGGAGACAAAGTTGCCACAATTAGGGTTCTTGCTACGTTGCACAATTAGGATGCTGTTAAGAAACTGGACACATGGGACTGGGTCTTTTTTTTTTCCTACTGGGCTGGTTGGAGTATATGTTTTAAAATTAGAGAGCGCAAACTAAGATATAGATATAAAAAATAAATAATACAGAATGGCTTTTAGCCTATATTGAGCAGCCGAAGCACGTAGAGGATTCTCTCATAAACCCAAAACGAATATTCAATAGAAAAAGGTAAGTGCCAGCGCTACATTAGACTCAAACCAATTAGCTTTTTGGCAAGTCTACTGCTACTATGTGGAATCACCAAGACTGTATATGCATCAATTATTACAATAAAAATCAATCAATTGATACTGTCTAATTAAAGTGTTTATTCTGAAGTTGGGACACTTGTGATTGTGGCACATGCCATTGACTTTTCACTCTTCTATATATATTTTTTATATTTTTTTATAAGATCAATGGACAAATTAGACAGTATGAATGATTGATTTTTATTGTAATAATTGATGCATATACAGTCTTGGTGATTCCACATAGCAGAAGTAGACTTGCCAAAAAGCTAATTGGTTTGAGTCTAATGTAGCGCTGGTTGGAGTATATGACTGGTGATCATCATGCAAGAAATATACGTTTTTATCTGTTCTCAGCAATTTTTTGATAGCTGGTCTATATAATTTAATACCCAAACTATCATTCTATATCATATACATTATAGTATATGTTGATTCAAAGTGTTGCTGTAGAACAATATATGTTCTAATTTTATTTTCAATTTTGTGACTTATGATGAGTGTAAAATATAGCTGCACATTTGATTTTATCAATATTGGCATTATTGGCATATATTTTCAAGATGTACCGTGATGAGTTCCATAACCTGCAATTTCAGTCACTTTTTCATTAGGTCCTGTAGTTAATTGTTTCAGTTCAAGCAATGTTAGTATAAGCAAACTATGCTACTGATCTCCGAACAATAAAAGGCACCTGAGCCCCAATTCCCGATTTCTAACCTTTTCTTAATATAAAATATTTTAATGCTATATCTGTCATTGTAGTGAGTGGGTAAATAGAAATTCAGTCATTTATGACATTGCCATATTTCTTTGAGGAAATGTAACTTGTGTTGTTCTAAATTCAACGTTTTAAATGTATACAAGTCATGTTAACCTAATGGTTAACCCAGCTCTGAGTATATCCTCACTTTTGTCCATCCTTGGCAGGACGACAGACACAGCTGTTTCTAAGAGGAAACAAAATTGTGCATCTTAATGCCATTGGGATAACAGGAGATTTCCCCAAGCATTGTCATACTCCCCTCTGGAACACAAAATGTTAAAGGTACAAAGGCACCATAGCTATTGTTCTGACACGTTCACGTCACTCGACAGATTATTAGTCATGGTAAGTTTAGGCTTGTATAACAAATAATGTTTCATGTGGATTACTCAGAGCTTCCTTCCCAACAGCTGTAATATTTGACTCACGAGTAACCAGAAGATTTAATGTATTCAAAAGGCCCTGCAGTACAGCACAAACGACTGGAAGCTCTGCAAAATTGTACATATCAAAATTTGTAACAGATGAGATTCATTAACTGATATCCTTCAGTAACATTATGCAGAATGGCTTAATATCTAGAAATAGTTTAATGAAGTAGTAACTTTATTTGGGTCCAAGGAGCTGGAGGGGAGAGTTGCTTATTGCTCTACAGTAAAGGATAGGGATTTTATCTTATTTATTTTTCCTTATAAATTTTATAAGCTACGGAAATTGGAAACTAATTGTGAACAACAGTTATAAAATGTTAAAATATATGTGTTCATTTTTTCAAAAATATCTTTAGACGCCAGGAACCTTTGTCATATCAATATATGTAACAGAAGGTATTCTGAGTGACTGATCAGTCTTTGTATATCTATAATATAAAATGCTAATATTGCTCCTTCTAAGGACATGCCCATCTGTTTGTACTAATTAGTATTTTTGTTGTTTAGTTCCAGCAGAATCGTTATCTTTCCTTAATTTGACTTTTCACGTTTTCTGTGTGCATTGTTCATCCATTATTTCTCACAATGCACTTAATTTAGTTCCTTAACTACCTGATACTCAAAACCTTTGTTTGCTTTACTGCCAAAAAAAAAGAGAGATCCAGTCAATATTAGGGATATGACGGTTGAGTAAATAGAAGAAGAATTTGTTTTTCCCATCTGCAGGAAGCAACGGATCAGATATTTGTGACATTCTTAACTGAACCAGGCTAGTAGGATCCCAGGATATTGTAAATGTGTCCCATTTGGGAAAGAGGTATATGTTACAAGAATCAGGAAAGAGAAAGACTAAAAGGTCAATCAAATGTTGGCCCAGTAGTCAGAGGGTGGACTATATGGGTAAGTAAAGGGCATAACCCCATATGTAGTTCAAATAAAGAAAAAAGAGAGACAGATACTGCGTTACTGTGTGATATGAAAGAAGACCCCAGACGTCCTTTTGGTGCCCAAATCCACCGCATAGACGCAGGTCTTACCCAAATACAATGTACAGCTCAAAAATTGGGCAAATAACTAAGGGAAAAATCAATTGAAAAAATCCTTTATTACGTCATCCGACATTAAAATAAATTGTGAAAAACCCAAAACGTAAAGAAAAAATTGTGCAAAGTATATTCGTGGTTAAAAGGGGGGATCTAATAGAGCTTACTGGCAATGATCCAGGAGAGGACTAGTAGGAAGGTAGGTACTACCAGTATAGATCAGTGTGCACCTATAGGGGCAATACCTTGACACATAGATATATGCCTTTTTCCCAAATAGAGGTGCATCATATATGGTTCATAGTTTGTAGTTGGTGCAGTTATGGCACAGTGGGGTTAATATCTCACTTTACAGAAAAAGTGACACAATGACCGAGAGACAGAACTTCAATACAGTTCCCCCAGGTGAGCACTTTGTTATGCAGTATGGACTGAAAAGCTGTCAGCTAGCATGAGTGTTCAATCAAATGTATAGTCTAATATAAGCACAGTCTAAATTAACAGTGGGACTGACAGAGTCTAAATGAAAGTACAAAAATAGCACTATAGTGTAACAAAGTGTCTGTGAAGGGAAACATTCTCATTTACCAATTTTGACACTTTGAACTGTGCTATAAAATAGGAACCTGTCAGCTGAAACACTGCTGGCCGGCTAGTGAGAGGTATTGATACTGCTAGATAGAGAGGCAAAAGACAGATTTACCAAGCAAAAAATACTGACAGAGCTACATACATAGAAAGCCATATATGATTAAACAGGCATGTATTTGTAATCCCTGTAAGACCTGAACAGTATAAAGATTATGTAAGGACCAAACCAAGTACTCACAGGTAACAGGACAATACAGTCTCAAAGTATCTGGGAAACAACAAAGTCAGTATAGTTTCCCAATTAGACACTTCGTACTGTGCCCCAGGTATGAATATAACAGAGCAGTATATTATCAATGTGGTTGTCTAATCAGCTGTTTAGTGCAGAGAGCGAGTAAAAACCCCTGTGCTGGATGAACCCATTAATATACTCATAAAGGATAAAGAGTAAATCCCCAAGGTAAAATTGGGGTTAATTATGGAAGTGTATAACTTGTAAATGCTCAGTAAAGCTCCATTAGAATCCCTATTAAAATAAAAAGACGCTAAAGAGCAGCATGACACAGCTCAACGCATTTCGGCGCTTTGTTGCGCCTTTTTCAAGAGCAAAGCAGAGTCAGAGTCAGCGTGAGGCCATGCCCCTCGTGACATCATGCGGCCAATCAACTCACGGCACGTCGGTCATGGGTGTGTCTAGGTGGCTTACAGCCAGGGGATGGGACGATCCGTTCCGGTGAGCTGTAGTCAGCGGACCTGCCCCACCATGCCGCCAGGCAGCCAATCACCGAATGCCCGTATGTTACAGGAATCAGTACTGAGTCATCATTAGTATATTCACAAAGGAACAACAAGTAAAAATAGTGGAATTTTATTTTCAAATGTAAGACAACTGTTCGGGAAACGGATAATTTGAAGAAATTCCCAGATTAATTTTCCACCACATTTGTCCAATTTTTTTAGCCCCCGATTACTTCCTGTGAGGATAGGTTGTATGTGAACAAACGCGCACTCTTGAGCAGCGTATATACATGCCGAAATTTGAGTGATAAGGCCTCGAAGGTTAACTAATGTTAAGAACAATGCAATCGAAAGAGCCTGAGTTTGGAACTCATTATCTTGCTGTTATCTTCTGTACCTAAAATCCCCATATTTTAAGCATGCATTGTATGTAATATCATTGAAATTGATTCATTAATAAAAACATTTTTGACTGCTCAAACCTGATCAGAAATTTTGGCCCATGATGGCACGCTACTACACAGAGCTATTTGCTCAAGCCTTGGAGGGTAGCTGTTGCCCAGCGCAGGGTCCTTTTCTAACTGCTTCTCCTGCTTTGGGTTTAGTACATGACGTAACAGGCACAGGAACTCAGAATCTGCAAATTGGTCCCATAATTTTCCAATTCTGATGCATATCCACTCTAAGATTCAAATCTATATATTTTTGATAGGATAAAATAAGTAAACTAGAGGGATTGGCAATTGCCTTCAACTACTACCCATACTACCCATCATCCCATACAAGAATATTGTAACCTACAATCTGATAACTGAATAACTGTAATGTAAAACTCCAATTAGAATTCCAGATTAATGGAAATACAATCATCAATGTAAGCACAAAACATTGACAGCCAAACCTACCTTAGACCCATGATACATACAAAGAAAATGAACAGAAAGTGTGGGTAGCAAAGCAGGAAGGGAAAATACCTCCTGTCCTTACTAAAATTAAGAGTGTTAGTACACTAAAGCTAGCATAGTCTTCAATTTTACAACATGACAGGAGGCTTCGTATTTTGCATTTTTAATGCTGAGAAAGGAATAGAAAATAAATGAAGAAGCTGAAAGTGCAACGGGATACCTAGCACGTAGTGTCTATGGGAAAACCTCCCCATCGAATGCCCGATCATCCAATACCTGGCGGAAAGCCACCGGTCCAAGCATAGAAGTCGACCAGTAGGTGCCCCAGTCCTGTAGAAAAAACGGAGAACGACCTTCACGTCCCATGAACTGGAGGTGGATGTCACTGGGTAACTGGTACATACGTTTTAGGATCCTTGTCCATCTAGAGTCCCCAGACCGGGACACGGGCCATAGACCTGTCCAAACCACCCCATAATGGATCAAGGTACAGTTCCAAACCTCAATCAGACCGAGAATATCCAGAGGTAGCATTGTTACGTCCCTGGGGCCAAAGAGACTCCTAAGAGGTCCCAAGCAGCCAGCGATAGTTCGCGGACCTGCCAAGAACCCCAGCAAGAGTTCTGGCCGCCAGGGTCAGCGCCGACCCTCCAGGAAAAGAAGATGCAGGTTTCCTTCGGATCTGTGAGAATATTAGGATATTAATGTAGGAGGGGGAGATCCTCACCAGTCAGTCCCGTAAGGTCTGAGAAACAAGGTTGACTCCATCACAGCGGGATGGGCAAGGAGGTGTTATTCGCTGAACAATGAGATGATGGAGAAGTTGCGCAATCATCGCAAGGGAGGAAAAAGCATAAGTCCCCCGGGAAGGCCCAGGTGGCAGGAGTGCGATCACTATTGTGCACCCTCAAGCAATGTGCCAATTGAAGAACACCGCATTCTGGCAGTCCCTCTGATATGTGTCTCTCCCGGGAGATAGGCCTACCTCGGGGGTTCTGTGAGGAAGGCAGGAATTGAAGATGCCTTTTATGATGTCTGATAGAACACGGGGGTTAGTTCTGTCCAGGCGATTGGTATACCTGACTGTCGATGCTCTGTCCATCCGTAGTAGGATACAATCGGCGGAGTACTCCTTTACCAGGCAGTGGATAGTGAAGTACTGCAGAAAGAATGCTAGGTCTGCAACATGAAGGGAGAATTCCTGAATTGTGAACCTGTTTCTGTGGGTGTTGATCGTAGGGGTCGTCCGTTTGATCGTAGGGGTCAGTCTGAGTGAACCTGACCAGGCCTCACTGCCTGTCCTGGTAACGTAGCAAGTCTGGGAATATGGCCGGATAGAGGAAGTCAGTATCCCACGATCCGGGTGAGTGTATGTAGGGTCACAGTGTTGCAGTGAAGGACCGTGTAAAAATTCCACGAGGATAGAGGAGACATATGCGACCTATGTCGTTGATGCGACAGGTTCCTTATTAGATTTGAATGCCTTCTGCCTAGATACGATGGAAACTCCTGTGGGTGGAGTAGAAAGTACAGTCGATGGTAACTTAGAGGCATTAACCTGAGGAGAAATGGTATCTAGCGTATTCAGTGTTCTCTGTCCGATCGTCAGGAGCACCCGAGGTTGACTCTCGCTCCTACTGGAGCGGGTTACGTGGTCAGATGTCACAAAGTGGTTGGTGGCGAAGCCCTGCTGTCAGCCGGTCCCGAAGAACACCCCTTAGGGATTACCACATAACACCTTCCTCCTGGAGGTGTGGGTCTTGATGAGGGCCACGGGACCATAAACGTGTGCTAAAGTTCCCCCGGGAAAAGTGTGCCTTTGTCAGGCCGTATCTGTTCCGGCTCCGTTCTGGCGTTTCTGGTATGTGGTGCCGGCCCAGCCCCCTTTCTGACGCGGCTCTCTTATGCTATATAGAGAGACCGCGCCAGATTCAAACCGCTTGGTGATTCTCGGACCTACTTCCGCATTCAAACACCCGCTAAGCTCTTCGTTCACAAAGTTACCAAACCTTTGACTATTATAAAGGATTTTGCCTTCTCTGTACCTCTGACCATGGATTGTATTGGAGTCTCCTGAAAATCAGACTGTGTATATCATTCATCCCTTGGATTCAAGCTATACATTCCCATGGAGGACAACTCCCATCAATCTTAAGTATACTAATTACTCTGATCTCTGAAGACTTACTTACTAATGAACTGTTTCTTATTTGCTATAATCTTCAGTTACTTCCTAATGAAATGTTACTTACATGCTATTCCCATGGAGGACAACTCCCATCAATCTGAAGATTCCACCTCTGAAGATTTAATTACTAATGAACTGTTTCTTGCTTGATATAACCTACAGTTACTTCTTAATGCATTGTTATTTGCATGCTATAATTCTCAGTTACTAAAATATTATTGCAATCATTAAGACTTCGCTTTCTTCACTAACTGCCTGCAACCACCACTTTGTTTTAAAGCTACAGTATCCTTAATAATTCTCCGCTTTCTTGCTATTGTAATTAAGGAGTTCTACAAGCTGCAGTTGAGTTCCAATTCTAAAACCCCTTGTAGCATAACAGCCTTGTGCCTGGGGTCCCAATGATTTGGCGCCTAGATCTGCCAACCATCCATCAATACGGAGGAGTGCTGCTATGCACTTCCCACAGGAGAGGCGAACACTGGGGATTCTGATGAACGGACACATCTCTGAGTCCATTCATGAACATCGGGAGCCCATTCCCGGACTGTGTTGACGTTTTCTGGTATTTTACCCATGATGGGGACCAGCAGTTAGTCTTGGGTGTCTCTGATACCTCTCCTGGCTCCCTTACAAATTCGCGATCGCCCAGAGACATGAAGGACATCATCCGCTGGTCAAACGCAGCCATCTGTGCCAGTCCGTCTGGGAGGGGAGGGCATGGTTCATCTGACCCCAAGCATTTACGGACATCGTATCTAGAGGCTACAAAGCCACAGGTACATAAAGTAAAAAAGACTGGGGCTAACCCAGTAAATAGAGGCTGCAACAACATGCCTCCACTCAGCAGCACAGTGCAACACACATATAATAGAGTCTCACCCTAGGGGCACAGGGTATGAACCCTTCAGTGCTGGCCACAGCCCTGATAGAGAGCGCCCATCAGTTCTCCCACAATTAAGTCACTGGCAAGGGAGATATGCCTTGAGGCAGGCAGTGTTGGAATCCTGTCAAGTAGTTAGCCGAGGCTGCAACAGCATGCCTCCACTCAGCATTCCAGTGCAGCGCACATATAGTAGGGGCTTCACCCCGGGTGCACAGGGTATGAACCCTTAAGTGCTGGTCATCAGCCTGATAGAGAGCCTCCCTCAGCTCTTCCAACAATTAATGCACTGTCATGGGAGATATCCTGTTAAGCCGGAAGTGTTGAAAATGCTGTCCAGCAGTTAACAGAGACTGTCCCAATATGTCTTCCCTTAGCAGTATAGTGCGGTGTACATATAGTAGGGGTCTCACCCCGGGTGCTCAACGTCTGAACCCTTTAGTG